ATATATAGTAGAAGGCGAAATGATTCGCTGTAACTTTTTGTTGATGTCATACATTAAAAAGGGATAGCTTTGTGTCTAAGAATGAGCATGTTTTGTGGGTTTGCTTTTAAAATGTGGATTTGCTGTACCCTAACTTCCATAAAGTAAGAAAAGCTAAACAGGACAAAAATATTTACAGCTCATGCACATATCAGTGAACAAAAGTACGCAAAGCATGAAATCTCTACATGGGCCAGACTTGTAGCATAGAACTAATAAAAAGCTTTCTTCATCTTATTACGTTGGACTCTGGGTGGACTACTAAAATAACTGTGAATGTGTTGAATCCCCTAAGGGATCCAGATCCACATTTGCTTGTTAATTTCTCTAGGATATATTCATCCATTTAGAGCGGCTTGTAACAAAAAAAGACTGTTAGAAAATATAAGTACCGGTTAGCACAAAACGTATTCGTGATCCTTTAACGTTAATAATAGCCTTTAATAGCTTGTCAAGGTCAAGGCATAATAAGAGACTACTTTTTCACACTCGATTAACGAGTGTTACTGGTGATAGGCGTATGTTATTTTGTGTCGCCGTGTTGTATCTATGTGGAATGAAGTTGGGGTAGAGAAATAGTGCTATATGTTGTAGTTTAGCATTGATATTTACAGCTCTGGAGACGCACTGAGTAATATGTAATGTATTAGAATGTGCCAAAAACTGTACGCACCTAATATGCTATACTTAAAATATAACAACAATGGGTAATAAAATAGTCCAGTAATTATCAATGTCATGTTAGCAGTGTTGGGAAGAAACGTGACTAAATAAACTGCGGAAGTGTTAAGAAAAAGCATTCTATACTTTTCATTTTCCTAATCCTAAGAAGTGCAGATAAATACTTCCATTAGGATTTGCTGCGGTCTGCAACTGACAAACACGTGTCCGCGTAGAAAAGCTTCACAAGTAAGTACCCATTTAGGAGCCACAACATTGCCATCTATTGCCTCGCATAAGAGAGGCTAGCAATGCGCGGACCTGTTAGACCCAACCTACTACACCAGAGAATCTTCCAATATTTGCCTGTCTCCTAGCCGCAAGAAAAAATCCCGCATAGATGCAGAAGAACTTTACCGTGATTCTTAGCAATCGTAGTTTGAACGTAACTAAAAAACCGCAGGATTTTTCGTGTAAAACTAGAAAGCTCTTACATACTGTGTGTATAAGGTAAATATGTAAGGCGAAGAACACAAATGGGATTTGCATATGAGCTAATTGTACCCACCGACTGAGGCTCCGGAGCAGAAGAAATCCGATAGACGGCGAGGCAAAGCGTTCCTTCTCTACGATATCAGACCATACGTGCCACGGCCACAAGGACGTCAAAGAAGTGGTCTTGAAAGAACTTCAGTGAAAGCATGTTTTGCGCTCAAATACCATATTTGCTAAATCTCGCACCGACTAATCACTACTTCTTTGATCAGTGGCAATCTGAATTCATAGCAATGCGTTTGACAAAGAAGAATGTTCCGTGCAGGACGCGAGTTCAACACCAAACTTGAAGATTTCTGTCGAAAAGGAATAAATAAATCAGGGTTCTGGAAAGTGGTTGCAAATACGTGATAAATTGACTCGTTACTGAAGTCCGAGTAAAACCCTGCATTTTTGTCGAATAAACCACCACCTCTGCTTGTGTAAGAGTCCAACACTAACGCGAACAGCCTCGATTCGTTTTACCGACAGAGTAAAGTTCCATTTGTTTCTTGGCAGGATACGTGCGTGCGGTCTCGAAACATAA